TTGTACCTGAGTTTTTGCACATCGGTACCTTTATACCTAAGATGGTGCTTGTACTTGGGTCTCTGGATTAATAATATAGTGATAATACCACACGGCTATTTCCCCTCCTCTTTGAAAAGGTTACTTTTAGACAATGGTTATTGACAACATGATATTAAGGGAGCAAAGCAGCCTAAACCGAGCTGTGCAGGGTCCAGCCCTCTTGTAAAAAATGGGCACTGAGCTCAAAGTTACCTCATAGCTTCTCTGTGAGGCTCATCTACATGTTCATTCTGTGGGTGGAAACATCCCAAGATGCTTCAAAGAAACGCTAGGGGACAAAATGGCATATCGTGTCTCTTTGAGGAGATGTCAGGACAGATGACCAAAAGCTTGGTCAAGGAGTTTGATTTGAGTGGGTGCCTTAAAGGAGTAAAGAGAGCTCAAGATGTGGAGAGGCCCTGTGACGGAATCCCAGCAGCTTAGCCAGAATTGCAGCAGCACCTGCCCCCCCAGACTAATCCTAGCCCTTTATCCTTGTGAGTGAGGGGCTGATAGCAATGATAAAGATCCGCCAGCTGTGGTCAAAAGACAGATCCACCAAGTGAAGAAAGATCACAAAGAGAAAGTCTGCAGCCTGTCAGCAAGTAAAGAAGCAACTTGTGGTGAATCCACACGATTAGACCCAGTTGACACTGACTGCACAAAATTCCATGTAAAAAGCCCCTTGCATTCCAGTGCCAGAGAAAGTAGGCACTGAGTCTGGTAATCAGCACCTCAGCAAATACTCTTTCAAAATATGACAGAGTGATATGTATATCAATAATTCTTAAACTTGCAGTTCCACATTTTTGTTAATCTGTACTGCAACAACTCACCCCAGCCTCTTTTGACAGCACCTTCCAAACCATTGGCCACTTTCTAAAACTTTCCGAGGTGCTGGGTTAATATCTTATGAGTGATAGCAAGTCACTTCGGTGTTTCTGCACTCAGGAGATGGGACTTCCTGAAGTGCACTAATTGACAGTATACAGTTTGATTAAAACTAGCATAAAGTGCTGTGAGTGTTGTGAAGAGAGGGAGTTAGATCTGATGAGTGCTGACACTAATAAAGAGGACAGAACTCAAGAGGAATACAAACAGGCAATGATGTTATTGATTAGTTGCACATCACTGAAGGCCACACATGGACATAAGGAGGAAAAGGAAGAGGGGTCAAGTGGAGACTGAAACACTCTTGAGAAAAGGAGAAAGTCTCCAACTGCAGTGGTGGACCTCCCAATCTTCTTTATACATTTCTATCAATGTCTCAACGAACTGTAGCAAAAGCAGTGTAAAAGCTGGAGGTGGGAATTCTATCCCCTTGTGCCTGAGGTCAATGTGCAGTACAGCCATGTCAAAGCATTTATCACCTTCAGCTGTTTGCGAAAAGCAATGGTGCTCAGTTGCAGATGGCAGGGAATTCCAGGTACTGCCTTGTGGATACCATAAAGAGAAACCAACTACATAGTGTTCTACAAACATACAAAAAAGGAACGAGAGTCGGCCACTCGGACCTTCCAGCCTGCTCCTCCATTCAGTAAGACCGCTGCTGATCTGATTTTAACTCTACATTTCTGCACATCCCCCAACACTCTTCCATCCCCTTGGTCATCAACAATCTATCTCCGCCTGCCTTAACAATATTTAAAGATTCTACATCCACTGCTTTTTGAGGAAAGGAATTCTAAACCTCTCAATGTTCTGTGAGAAAAATATATTACCTTATCTCTGTGTCAAACGGGTGACCCCTTATTTTTAAACTATGACCCCTTGTTCTAGATTCTCCTACAAGAGGAAACATCCTCTTCACATCCACCCGTTCAAGTGCCCTGAGGATCTTACATGTTTCAACGAAGTCTCCTCGGACAGTTCTAAACTCCACAGGATACAGGCCCAGCCTGTCTAGCCTTTCCTCATAAGGCAATGAAAGGTTCTAAATATCCTCTTATTGCTGGAATGTTTCTGTTGGATCCATTAGAATTACGACTCATCCATTTTCAGTCCAACTCCGTTTCTTCGTTACGCCCACATGTTATTTTAATAGCACCATTTTGTTTTCATTCAGTCATAGGATGTGGATGTCATTGGCTGGACCAGCATTTATTGCCGATCCCTGACTGCCCAGAGGGCACTTAAGAGTCAACCACATTGCTATGGGTCTGTAGGTCAGACTAGACAGGACAAGGATGGCAGTTTCCTTCCCTAAAGGACATTAGTTTTTCCATCAATTGACAATGGCTTCATGGTTGTCATTTGACTCTTAATTCAAGATATTTACTGGAGTAAACTTCCACAATCTGCCATGGTTGGATTTGAAGCCAGGTCCCCAGAACATTACCTGGATCTCCAGTCTAATAGATTCGTGGTAATATCACGAGAACATCCTTTATGTGTTGCATAACAGGGCATCTCAGTAAGTCCCATTTTCTGATTGTTAGAGACATCAATGCTGACTCGCTATCTCTAATAGAATATTATGTCGGTACCTTGGAGTGTGTTAGAAAGATAGCCCTGCATTCTTTTAACATTGTCCCTTCAAGAAATGACCAAGCAGACAGATTCTACAATTATTCTAATCATTCTACAGAATGGGCCCATCTTCAATGAAAGATGTGAGAATGGGAACGAGTAAATCAGCACTCTCACTTCTAGTGAAAGTGGAACTGATACAAATATCTGAAGGTTTTCCTTCTTAAAATCTGAACTTTTTGTTCACTGAAAATAAGGAAAAGCTTTCAAAAACAGCAACAATGCTGACTCAAAGATCATGTGAGTCTTTGAAGAGGGGGGAGGGAATGGCTGAGAGGTTGGCTATGTAAGTTGCACTCTAAGGAGGCTATAGTCATACAACATGGAAACAGACCCTTGGTTCAAGTCATCTGCGCTGACCAGACATCCCAACCTGATCTAGTCCCATTTCCCAGCATCTGGCCCATATCCCTCTAAACGCTTCATATTCACATACCCATCCAGATGCCTTTTAAATGTTGTAATTGTACCAGCCTCCACCACTTCCTCTGGCAGCTTGTTCCATTCACACACCACCTTCTGCGTGAAAAAGTTGCCCCTTAGGTCCCTTTTAAATCTTTCCCCTCTCACCTTAAATCTATGCCCTCTAGTTTTGGACTTCCCCCCACCCTGGGGAAAAGACCTTGGCTATTCATCCTCTCCATACCCCTCATGATTTTATAAACCTCTATAAGGTCACTTCTCAGTCTCCGACGCTCTGGGAAAATAGCCCCAGCCTATGTGTTTGATTTAAAGGATGTAAAGTTTCAGTTGGTAGGGATTTCTGTGGGAGTATCACCAGCCTCTCCTTGTCTCTTAAATGATATGGGGATGGTGCCAGAAGGTGGACTTGAAGTAGATAATCAGTCATGAAGTTGCTCAATGACACAGCAGGCTCAAAGAGCCAAACGGCTTACTCCTCTTATTTCTTATGCTTGGCCTTGCACTTCACTGTATGCTTATGTTTCAATCAATGATCTCTGGTGCAAAATAGTGTCAGTTCTACATTTCATGATGGATTATTACTTTCTTTAAACTAGATGACTGCCCTAATTTTCTTGAATTGGTTCTTAAAAGAGGAGAGATACATTTTGTTAATGTGGGTTCACAGTTTCGGGTTGAAATGGCTGAAGCCAATGATGGAACAAAAGAATTGGGGCAGAGAGTCACAGAGGTTTTAGAGCATGGACCTTCAGCCCATCATGTCTGTGCTTGTCACCAAACATCTATCTATTCCAATCCCATTTGACAGCACTTGGCCCCTAACCTTGTATGCTGTGGTATTCCAAGTGCTCATCTAAATAATTCTTAAATGTCTCGAGAGCTCTTGCTTCTACCACACTCTCGTGCACTGAGTTTCAGATACTCACAACGCTCTAGATGAGAAACATTTTCTCTAAACCTCCAGTTTCTTGCCTTAAAACTCTGGCCCCAGGTTATGAAAAAGCTTTCTCCCTATCTATTCTATCTGTACCCTCCAGGACTTTCTGCAGGTCAGTCAAAACCCCCCTCCCCTCAGCCTTCTCTGCTCTAAAGAAAACAACCCTTGTCTATCCAGTTTCTTTTCAGAGGTGAAACTCTCCAGGCCAGGCAACATTCTGGTGAATCTCCTCTGCACCCTCTCCAGTACAATCACATCCTTCCTTTAGTGCGGAGACCAGAACTGCACACAGTGCTCCAACTGTGGCCTAAATAATATTATATACAGCTCTGTCATATTCTTGCTCTTGTATTACTAATGAAGACAAGTATCCCATATACCTTCTTAACCACCTTATCTACCAGTCCTGATGCCTTCAGTGATGTATGGACATGCATAGCTGGGTCCTTCTGATTTTCTGTACTGCCCAGGGTTCTACTATTCAACATGTCTTCCCTTACCTTGTTAATCCTTCCAAAATTCATCTCCTCACACAAATAGGAGGAGGGAGATAGAGAGTTCTTGGAAAGTGATAGGGCTGGAGGAGAGTACAGAGACAGGGAGGGTCAAAGTCGTACAGGGATTTGAAGACTAGGATGAAAATTTTGCATTTTGAGCTTTTTTTCATTCATTTATATGCCAGCATTTGTTGCCCATCCCTATGTACCCAGAGGGCATAAAAGGGTCAACCACATGGCCATGAGTCTATACATCAGACTAATGATGACAGATTCCCTTCCCTAAAGGGTTTAGTGAATAAGACGGGTTTTTACAACAATCAACAGTGGTTGCCATTAGGTTACAGATTTTAAGTTCAATTTAATAAAACATTGAATCCAAGTTTCACCATGTGGCAGGGTGGGGATGAGAACCCATGTCCCTATATTATTAGCTCTGATTACTAGTTCACAGACTAAACTCGATAACTTCCCTCCCTGTCTTCCAGAGCTGGAAGTCAGCTGGATCACCAATTAGAGGCACATTTCTACGACTTTCTGGACTCAGAGAGGGTGGGGGACACGTAATTTTAAAGTGAAGCAGAGAAGTTTACCTTTACTGCATAATAGTGCACTCCATAAGTTGGAAGAGATTCTGCAATGCTCATGTAACTGGGAAAAAAGAAGAAATGGAAAGAATGTTAGAAATGGTTTTCAGTCACTCTTCTCACAGTGTTGCAGAAACATTGAAACATTTAGGCAGTGAGACCTATTAAAAAAAAGGAAAACAGGCAGAAGGAATGTGAATATTAAGAATAAAACAAAGAGAAAATATTTGAAATAGGCAAATGAGCAAAACCTAAAGAAATTAAACATCCCAGAAATCATTAAAGGTCATTGATAAAAATATAAATCAGCTTCGCATTGACCATAAAAGGGCAAGAGTTTTAAACTTGGAAATCACTGCTGGTGATGCTATCACACAAACACAGAATTTGTGTTTGAATCAGATTCCTCACTTCACTGTTTGAATCGAGGAATTAATCTGTTTATTTTGAACAGTTTGAAACCACACTAAAACGGGCAAGAGGTGGAGTCTATTACTAATTTGTAGTTTGCAGGGGAACATTGCTAGTGGTAAAGTCCAGCAGATTGTTTCTTTTCCAACAGAACAGGAAGGTACAGTTCTAATAAAAATTAATCCCAGAAAATCAATTTCCAGAAAATGCATGACTTACTTCACAATAGCTTGTCCTCTTGTCTGTCCGCTGACCTTCTTATGATGTTCGATCACTCTGTCCTCACTGAAAGGGATCAGATAGCAAGCATTAGCTTTTAAAGTGCAGTCTGACTTTTTGAAAACATTGTACAATGAGGTTAGAACCAGGCTTGAATGGTCTGTTCTTCCATTTACTGAGATCTGCCTGAACTTCTACCCAAACCCCACTTCCCACATCTTTTTGAATTCCCTTAGCGTCCATTCTTCAGCGTCTGTCTTGAATGTGCAATTATTATGTAATTTTTTAAAATAAAGACAGTTAATTTGAATTTTTAAGAAATTGACAGTCTTAAAAAATGGTGTCAGATGGCCAATTCTTGTTCATTCACATCAGAAGGCTGCAGGCTGATGTGTTATCTCAAAAGCAACCACAAAACACACAAAACAAAACAATTAGTATTCAAATACACCCCCAGCCCCTGGACAAAGTAATGCTTTGTAACAAGGCTTCAAAAAACTTCTAAGACAAACTAGAGGCTGGAGGAAATCCCCACAAAGAACTCTAGCTCAATTAATATTGCTTTGTGGAACGATGATTCACCAAAGTTAACTCAGCAGCCAATTTAAGCTTCCTCTTTTTAAGGATGTGAGATCCCTTTTTAAATAGAATTCCCCAGAAACATCCTCAGAGAAAAGAACTCTCAGCTCATATTAAAAGATTTTGCAGAAATCAATCACCGTTCTGCTGGAAGAGCTTAGGCAATCTGCAAGTGTCACAACTGCAGAACAAGTGAGCAGCAAGAAATCCTCTCTCTCTGTTAAAGCCTTCCCTACTTACTGAGTCAGCCTGTGCAGGTAAACTCCAGCTATTCAACTAAAGCTCCTCACAGCTGCTGAATTCTGACTTTAGTCTTCAACCCCTTCTCAAAAAATAAATCCTCAAGTAAGTAAAAGCCCTGCAACATTAAAGGTGTGAACTGACTTCCATTTATATAAATACTTTAACTGGACCTACTTTTTATCTTTGAATTTTATCTAATAATTGTAGCACCTTATTATATAATAAATTTTAGCGATAATTGTGCAATAACCTAACTTTTGATCCTGTTTAACACAGAAGCTTGTTGCTGTCTATTTTTAAGTTGGAGCACTCAAAAATTAAAATAGGGATAACACTCTTACGCTAATTCACAGATCATTGACTGTGCTCCAAACACGCCTAGTGGTGATGACAAATAAATACTATAACTCTGAGTATCCATAATCCTCTGCAAGAGAGAAATCCAAAGATTTACAATATTTTCAGTGAAGAAATTTCTCCCCATCTCATTCCTAAATGGCCAACAACACAGTTTGAGACTGTGATCCAGTGTTCAAGGTTCTCCAAATGGGAAAAATGCTGTTTCAGTGTTTTAATCAGATCACCTTTCATTCTTTTGTAATCCAGAGAATACAGTCCTACTATACTCAGTTTCACCTTACCCTAGGGACCAGTCCAGTGAAATAAAACAAAAGATGGCAGATGCTGGAAATCTGAAACAAAAACAGAAGTTGCTGGAGAAACTCAGCATGTTTGTCAGCATCAAGGACAGAAAGCAGGGTTCATGTTTCGAGTCTGGTGACTCTTGATCAGAACTGAAAGTAGTAGCAGCAGTGTGTACTATCTACAAGATCCATTGCAGACATTCACCAAAAATCCTTAGACAGCACTTTCCAAACCCACGACCACTTCCGTCTGGAAAGGCAAGGACAGCAGATAAGATCATATGACCATAAGGCATAGGAGCAGAAATCAGGCCATTCGGCCCATCGAGTCTGCTCCGCCATTCGGTCATGGCTGATAAGTTCCTCAAACCCATTCTCCCTCTTTTTCCCCGTAACATTGATCCCCTTGATAATCAAGAACCTATCTATCTCAGTCTTAAATGTACTCAATGAGATACATCAGAGCACCACCATCTACAAGTTCCCCTCCAAGCCACTTCACCCTGACTTGGAAATATAACGCTCTTCCTCCATTGTCAAACAGATTCAAGAACAGCTTCTTCCCCGCTGTTATCAGTCTTATGTATGGACCTCTCATGTATTACAGCTGATCTTTCTCTGCACCTTCTCTGTAGCTGTGACACTATATTCTGCATTCTGTTCTATTACCCTGATGTTCTTGTCTCAGGGATGATTTGTCTGGATAGTGCACAAAACAGTATTTTTCACTGTCTCTTGTGACAATAATAAATCAAATCAAAATCGTGGGATGCTAGATCATAGACTGTAGTGGAGCACCCAATTTCAGCACCCCCTGTGTTACTGAGGGTGCGCTCAGGGCTGGGGAGGAAGGTGGTGAAATCAGCACCAGGCTATTTACATTCCCGCCCTCTCCCCTCACAAAGAAAATCTAGCCCAGGGCCAAAGCAGGAATCTTGATTACATACAACATAATCAAATTCTCCAGCAATAAGACCTGTTCTAATATCCCTTATTATTGAGAACTGAAAGATTCAGCACTTACTCTGCTGCTCAAGATACAAATAAAGAAAGAATCTTGGGCAGTTTCGAAGAAAATAAAACAAGCTGGGAATTTCTGAAGCCTCCTGTCCAGTGGGTGTATAGTCTGTGAAAGATTTCCCTCTTAAATATTGGGTTTGTACGCCAAGACACCAGAGGTCAAACCTCTTTTCGACTGGAATGCATGTGATGTTACTGTTAGGGAGTGGCTAATAGCACAGACCGTCAACTATCTTTGATTTCATTTCAGCTGTGCCTTTATAGTTTGGACAACACTGGGAGAGTCTAACAGCTGCTTAAAAGCACAGCCCGCATTGCTGCAGCTGCGGTTATCAATGAGATCAGTTTACCTCCAGTTTATTGCTATCTGCCTAAACTAACCTTAATGTGAATAGTTTGGGAATTTATTGATCTCGTTTCTTTAGCTTTCTTCTGTTAATCTCCTCCCTTCATTTTCTCTCCTTCTCTCCCTAAAGGTAGAGACACCTCTCACTTGGCCAACTCTCCCAATTTATGCAGCTTTGCCTCTCTTCTACTTCAGCAGCCAGCGAGTGATAGCGAATTTATTCACACCACAACAGTTACAAAAGGTTAATATGGGAGCAGCTGCAGGAAAGAGTTACCACAACATACTAGAGAGAGGCACCTGGTGGGGGTTAAACCTGAGGGTCACCACAGCTCAGATGAAGAGGAGACATTGGGAAGAAGAGGCCTTCATGGTAATCCCAGCTGTTGGGAGCATTGCCACTGTTGACAACACTCATCAGCCATCCAGTCAACTGAGCTAAAGGAGCCTACCAAGCCAAGCCTGCTCTTGTGGCTCCATTCCCCACAGTGGGCTAGCTGCAAAGGATTGTATGAAATAGGAAAAGCAGTAATCCAATCAGCCAATTGAGCCTGCTCCACCATTCAATAGGATCCTATGCACGGTGTCATGACAGTGGGAGCAGGTTAGTCTGTCTCTCCCTCATTGTGGTCTACAGGCGAAGGAAGAGAAAGGCTGCGTGTGATTGGACGGTTAATTCCCCACCCTCACAGCCCTGTCCCCACCCACACCGCTCCCCTAAAGCTCACCCTCACAGCTCACCCACTCCCCACAGCCCCATCCCCACCCTCACTGCCTCATCCCCACTCCCCACCCTCACCGCCCCCCCACTCCCCACCCTCACAGCCCCATCCCCACTCTCACAGCTCTTCTACCTCACAGCCCTATCCCCACTCCCCACCCTCACAGCTCCATCCCTAATCCCCACCCTCACAGCTCCCCCAATCCTCACCCTCACAACTCTTCCACTCCTTACCCTCACAGCTGCTGCCACACCCGAGCCTCTGGTCTCCGCTCCTGTACGGTGCTACTAATAAACTCGAAATGAAAAGCTGAGCAATGTTTGACAAACCCTATTCTGTCAGTGAGGGGCATGGACAGGTTTGTGTTATTTTTGTCTGATGCTTTGATACAATTCAAAACAACTTATTATTTTTGCAGAAGAAAACAGAAGAAATGAGGCCTTGTGAACGATTTTTCTTCCTTATATACGTTTCCCGATAAATACCTTCCTTTCTGTGGTTCCCAAGAAATCCAATGGGGAATTGAGGAGAAATGTCCTTCCTGAGAGTGCGGCTGGTCAGAATGAGGTGAAATATGTTGATGTATTTAAAGGGGGAGCCCGATCAACACACAAAAAGAGGGGAATAAAAGTAAACACTGAGAAATTACATCTGGAAGGACAGGAGGGTGAGTGAGACACAAACTCTAGCAGGGATCGGATGGGTGAATGGCCTGTGCTTGTGCTATTTTGCCAATGTCTAAGCTGCAGGGATTTGTAGAATTGGGCTCCAGAGAGAGTTAGAACAGTACAGGATGCAGTAGAGGAACTGAAAGAATTCAATTACAAATGAGCTAGCAATGAGCTAAAGTGGGGACAGCGATTAGAATATAAATGGATGCACTCAGGAACCCCTGACAGTATTCAATCCTTTTAAAAACAGTGCATTCAATTTAAACTGTGTCAGTTCCTGCAATATGATAAATGACGGCACTGGGAGAGGGAGCAGCTTTGCAAGTTTCTCTCAAGTGATGGGTTCTCAAAGACTCCTATCAGGAGTGTGTTTGATATAAACTCATTGTACATTCTACTGAACATTGACCTAACTGTAACCTCAGAAGGACACTATCTGCCACACTGTTGGGAATTGCCTTTGCCTGTGCTGTCTGATATTTATGACCTTTCTGACTGTAATGGCTCAATTAGTGACAACTGTGTCGAATATAAGAAGGTTTTTACCACTGGGAGAAGGATTTGAGATTACTTCAACCCATTTCATTCTGAAGCTCTGAACGGTGATCCGGGAGCCACTCAGTCGGAGCTTCAACATTTCAACTGAGTTATGGAGATAAAGGTCTGGCTTTCTGATCATACGACTGATTCCCACTTTACGTTTCTCTCTCAGTACAACATCAGGAACATCCTACTGCAATGATCCCAAAAGAAGCTTCCTTCTACTGTTACCAAAACAAGTGCGAACAAATACAATATTAACCACGGCATAACTCAGTGGCTTTCTCTCTGGTCATTCTGCATTAATATAGAAACAAGGATCAGGAGTAGGCCATTCAGCCCCTCCAGCACATTCCCCAGTTAACATGATCATGGCTGAGCATCTAACTCAGTCCCCTGTTCCTGCTTTCTCCCCATGCTCTTTGATACAATGAAGTGCTTGACTTCCTGAGTATAATCAGATTTAATCAGATCTGCTGTCTTTCCCTGTCTTTACAACAGGGTCAGGGAGCTTTAGGCATATGAAGGATGGATGACATATCAGTGCAAACTGATGAACATTTATTCATTTACCACAAGTTACAGAGACCATAAGACTGTAAGACATAGGAGCAGATATCAGGCCATTCAGCCCATAGAATCTGGTCTGCCATTCAATCATGGCTGATAAGTTTCTCAACCTCATTCTCCCACTTTCTCCCTGTAACCCTTGATCCCCTTGATAATCAAGAACCTATCTATCTCAGTCTTAAATGTACTCCATGACCTGGCCTCCATAGTCTTCTGTGGCAGTGAATTCCATAGATTCACCACTCTCTGGCTGAAGAAGTTTCTCCTTATCTCTCTTCTAAAAGGTCTTTCCTTTACTCGGAGGCTGTGCCCTCAGGTCCTAGACTCTTCCACCAATGGAAACACCTTCTCAACATCCACTCTGTCCAGGCCTTTTGGTATTCTTTAAGTCTTAATTAGATCCCCCCTTTATCCTTCAAAACTCCATCGAGCATGGACCCAGAATCCTCGAACATTCCTCATATGTTAAGCCTTTCATTTCTGGGATCATTATCGTGAACCTCCTCCAAACCCGCTCCAGGACCGGTACATCCTTCCTGAGATATGGGGCCTAGAATTGCTCACAATACTCTAAATGTGGCCTGACCAGGGCTTTATAAAACCTCAGAAATACATCCCTGCTTTTATGTTCTAGTCCTCTCGAGATAAATGCCAACATTGTATTTGCTTTCCTAACTACTGACTCAACCTGCAAGTTTACCTTAAGAAATATCCGGACTAGGAGTCCCAAGTCCCTTTGCACTTCAGAATTCTGAATTTTCTCCCCATTTAGAAAATAGCCTATGCCTCTATTCTTCGTACCAAAGTGCATGACCTCACACTTTCCCACGTTGTACTCCATTTGCTATTTCTTTGCCCACTCTCCTAACCTATCCAAATCCTTCTGCAGCCTCCCCACCTCCTCAATACTACCTGTCCCTCCACCTATCTTTGTATTGTCTGCAAACTTAACCAGAATGCCCACAGTTCCTTCACCTAGATCATTAATGTTTAAAGTGAAAAGTTGTGGTACACCATTAGTCACCGGCTTCCATCCTGAGAAAGTCCCTTTTAAACCTCCTCTCTGTTTTCTGCCAGACAGCCAATCTTCTATCCATGCTAGCACCTTGCCTCTAACACCATGGGCCCTTATCTTACTCAGCAGCCTCCTGTGCGGCACCTTGTCAAAGGCTTTCTTGAAGTCCAGGTAGCGAACATCTATTGGCTCTCCTTGGTCTAACCTGCTTGTTACTTCCTCAAAGAATTCTAGCAGATTTGTCAGGCATGACCTCCCCTTGATGAAACCATGCTGACTCTGCCCTATTTTACCATATACTTCCAAATATTCAGAAATATCATCCATCACGATGGACTCCAAAATCTTACCCACGACCGAGGTCAGGCTAATCAGCTTGTAATTTCCCATCTTTTGCCTTTCTTCCTTCTTAAACAGGGGTGTCACGTTAGTGATTTTCCAGTCCTCTGGGAACCTCCCTGACTCCTGTGATCCTGAAAGATCACCACTAACGCCTCCACTATCTCTTCAGCTATCTCCTTCAGAACTTTGGGGTGTAGTCCATCTGGTCCAGGTGATTTGTCCACCTTCAGGCCAATCAGTTTTACTAGCACCTTCTCCTTGGTGATGGCCACCGTACTCAGCTCTTCCCCCAACTCTCTTGAATTTTTGGGATGTTACTCATGTCTTCCACCGTGAAGATTGACACAACGTAGTTACTCAGTTCCTTAGCCATTTCTTTGTTTCCCATTACTACTTCTCCGCACTTGCCAGCAGTCCAATGTCCACTTTTGCCTCTCTTTAGACTTTATTTATCTGAAGAAACTCTTGCAATCTTTTTTTTTGTACTACTGGCTAGCTTACCTTCATTTTCAATCTTCTCCCTCCTTGTTTCTTTTCTTGTTGTCCTCTTTTGGCCTTTGTAAGCTTCACAATTCTCTGGCTTCCCACTGCCCTTCGCCACATTATATGCTTTCTCTTTTGCTTTTACGCTGTCCTTGATTTCCCTAGTCAGCCATGGTTGCCTCATCCTCCCTGTACCATGCTTCTTTCTCTTAAGGATGAATTTTTGCAGTGTCTCCCGAATTACTCACGGAAAGTCTGGCCATTGTTGTTCCACTGTCTTTCCCGCTAGGCTCCTCTTCTAGTCAATTCTGGTCAGCTCCTCCTTCATACCTTTGTAGTTGCCTTTATTCAGCTATAATACCATTACATCTGATTTCACCGTCTTCCTCTCAAATTCTATCATATTATGGTCACTGCCTCCTAAAGGTTCCTTCACCTTAAGCCTCCTTATCAAGTCTGCCTTATTGCACAACATTAAACCCAGCATTGCCTGTTCCCTAGTGGGCTCCACCACAAGCTGCTCCAAAAAGCCATCTCGCAGACATTCCACAAATTCCTCTTCTTGCGATCCACTACCAACCTGATTTTCCCAGTCACCTGCATATTGAAATCCCCCATGATCACTATAACCTCGCCTTTCTTACTCACCTTTTCTATCTCCTGGTGTATTTTGTTTTATTCATTCACGGGATGAGGGCATCACTGGCTAGGCAGCATTTATTGCCCATCCCTAATTGCCCAGATGGCAATTAAGAATCAACCACATTGCTGTGGGTCTGGAGTCACGTGTAGGCCAGACCAGGTAAGGAGGGCAGTTTCCTTCCCTAAAGGATATTAGTGAACCAGATGGGTTTTTCCTGACAATTCACAATGGATTGGTGGTCATCATTAGACTCTTAATTCCAGACTTTTATTGAATTCAAATTCTACTATCCGTTGTGGCAGGATTCAAACCTGGGTACCCAGAACATTCCCCGGGTCTCTGGATTAACAGTCCAGCGAAAAAACCACTCGGCCATTGCCTTCCCTGAACCTGAATCTTAGGAAGAGAATGCTGAGGTATTACATTTTGCCCTCAGTGTTATATTCCTGGGAAACAGAGACTAGAGAAATGGAGGCTGGTGATGAGCTGGATGAGCTTGAAAAGGGGACGTTCAGGAGGAGGAGGCTTACACATTCTGCACAGACAGAAGGACGAATGAGGAATTGCTGAGAATGGCTGGAGAAGAGAGGAAATTAGCGCATAACCATCAAGCGAGAAAGATATGACATTTTGTTCACATTGTTAGAGCAGAGAGTTGACAGGGACCAGGAACGACCAATGGAAAACGCCAGAAAAGGAATCAGGGGCGGGAATGGACAAGGTTTGGGTATTTTCTAAATCAACCTGTTCAGAGATGTTATTACGAACTTCTGCAGAGAGTGGGACTTGAGACCAGGCTCCTGGGTGTGTGTAAAAGGAACTAGGGCAGAGTAAGGGTGTTGGGGGTGGGGGATGCGGGTGATCCAGAACAATCAACCCACTGGGAAGCAGATAACACAACAAAACAAACAAATGGAGGAAGCGTCATTTCATCACGACAGCTGACTGGAACCTTACTTCGTCGGCACAGATACTTATGACGGTCTAAAAAAACCACTAAATGTACAATTATACTCTCGCCGTTGCCAGCTAACATGAGCTAACTCACAGCTGACTCACAGAATGTGAACATTATGCAGTGTAAACTGCATTAGGCCTGTGATAGGGAGGCTGTGAGACTTACCAATAAGCCAGGGATGGGTGATCCTTCAAAGCTTGTGTTGGCAGTACTGGCAACTTCTTTAGTTCAGCCCTTGTGACTTCATTGCTGAAAGAGGAAGCAATATTTAAGAAGTCAAGTTAATCCAGAAACTGTGATCTTAATAGCGACAAGTCCAGATGGAACATTCTGAAAGTCGACATCTGGTCCTTTTTAGCAAAGAAATAGCACTTTTCCTCAGTGCAATTGAAAAAAAAGCCTGCAATGATAGTTCTCTTTAACCATAACTCGACACTGAGCCTCAGTGTTGCTGTGTGGTCGGGAACTCGATTTAGTCTCACTTCCTCTCTCCATGTCCCTCGTTCCCTCCGACCTCCAGCCCCAATGGAACAACGATAGGTTTGACCCATTCGGGGTGTTTTGGAGGAGGGAGGTGGTTGGGGGAATGTTGACCTCCCTTTATGGGACCTAAAGAAAGAGTTAAAGGGTGGAAAGGTTCAACAGTGAGTGACCAGCCTTGTATCCTGACCTTATTTTAAGGTTGTTCTGGAACACAAAGTCCAGTCTGTAGCAGTGAGAATGTACCTACTCTCCATGGTGAGGATTTCTGTACAATCTGGGGCTCCACAAAAATATTCTAGATTTACAGTATGTCTTTGTCTGAACAAAATGAGTTTGTTATGCACAGTTTTCCTAATAGTTTTGAAATTTCTATGCACGGTCAAAGAGAAGGTTAAAAGTCTCATCTACAGACACTCTCCCTCAGACTAAAGTGACACTCCACATGTGTTTAATGGCACAGCAGTATATTTTACACTGTGCCTGCCATCACTGAACTCCTTAATCTTGCTTCAGTTACAATTTATGAGTCATTGTGATGGGGGGTAACTACGCAAGGTGAAATTTGCTCAAGGCTACGTTTGGCTGGGCTCAAAGCTCCATACTGAAAGGCAGCAGCTCTGGGTTTTGGCAGTAGTTTTAAGAGTATTAATACTGCAATGTAATACGGTCTTGTACACACGAGATGTTTATCTTTGCTGGACCGACTGTCAGTTAACCTGCACAGTCCTCTCTCTGGATGTGTGTGTGTGTGTGTGTGTGTGTGTGTGTGTGTGTGTGTGTGTGT